ATACGTTTCATAAAAGAATGAATGAACACTGGATATATATTACCCCAACGACAACAAAAAAACAACAACAGAGAATGATAATACATTGTAAATAAAATGTGAGCAAGCTTCCAGTTACAAAAAAATCTTTGGTTGTCCTCAAAGTGCTCAGTATTGTTGTAACGTGAAGTTACAACATACGTGAAGATGCATCTTTCTTTTAATTAGATGTAATTCAAATAAAACACGAAACTTGAGATAGCACCATGTTGTGTTCTTGTGACAGTACTCATTAGGCGCTTTCACACCGGAGTACTTTTCCCCGTACTTTCCCCTTTTAGTTCCGATAGTTCCTGGGATTTTGCGTTCACACCAAAAAGAGAACTTAGTTCATGAGAACTTTTCCCCCCTTTTCAGTCCCTGCTATACCTCATTCACACCAACGCAACTCCGGTTCAAGCTCCGTGCTAGAGCTTTTCAGGTTCAGAACCGGTTCTTCAGGTTTAGCTCCGGCTCTTTTCTGGTGCTGCGTCATTGCGTCATCGTTTACGTCATGACGTAACCGTTTGCGTGCCTGCTTCATAAAGCTAAACCGTGCGGAAACCCCTCACAGCTCACACCGACAACAACAACAATGGCCGATTGTGTTGAAGCGCTACTCGTTTTGGTTTTCTGCAATTGTTGGAGAATTGCTTTGGACCGCGTGCTCCCCTCCAGCTTCCTCTGTACCTCTTCGGAAGACCAGATTCCCAGTAGGTAGCTGGTCTCTTCAGTGGACCACTGCTGCTTGTTAAGTTTCTCCATCGTTGTGTACAAACTGGATAAAACGTAGGCTTTTTGTTGTTGTTCAGGAGTTGATCCCGCCCCTGCCCCTGCCCCTGCCCCTGTCCCTGCCCCTGCCCCTGCCCCTGCCCCTGCCCCCGCCTCGACGTAAGCGTGACTTATGCGGTGCTTTTGCTCTAGCCGAACAAGTTTTTGGTGCTCGAAACGAACCGGATTCCGGAGCTAAGAGGCCGCTCCGCTGCGGTGTGAACAGGAAAACCCGGTGCTTTTCAAGCTCCAGCTCCGAACCGGCCCTGAAACACCGTTGGTGTGAATGAGGTACTAGAGAGCAGGGACTTTCCTGGGGAGAAAAAAGTTCCAATTTCTGATTGGCTGGGCGAATTGCAAACCACGCCCCGTAAAACTCGGAAAAGTTTTGTGAAGCCGCCATTGTATTTGCTGGCATTAGCATTATTAGCATTAGCATTAGCCCCGCGCACCAACGGAGAGAGAATAACTTATGGCAACACAAAAAAAAACATAGGAGCGGTGGAGTGATGAGGAGGTGTCGGCGATTTACTCGAATAAATAAACTTTAACGGACATGTTGACCGGCGAAAAAAAATCTAACTGAAACTCTGCTGCACGGTCCCCTCGTCCCTTGGAAGAGGCGGAGAGGTGGGTGCTTTTCATCTGCTGGTGGACTACCGGAGAGATTTACAGCGCTTGCCTCGGGGAGGGAGAAAAAGAACCAGAGCGTCCACAGCGGAGGATAAACAGAAGGGCAACCATGCGCGGGAAGTCTTCTTCGCTGCTTTTGTGGCAGGACTACAGCGCCACTTACAGGCCTGGCATATGTACTACAGCGTCTCCAGCGCTTTCGAGCGGTCTCGTGTGAACGGACACGTTTCTGGTGCCTGTTGCGTGTGGACGGAAGACTTTTTTGATAACGATTGCGGTCCGTTTGCGTTATCGTCCTCGTGTGGCCGGGGCTTAAGTACTTGGTGTGAAAGCGGCTATAAGGCGCCAAGTACTTTTCCCAGGAATAGTTCCCGGAACTTTTCCCCGGAACTTTTATTTCCTGGAACTATCTAGTAAATCGCGTTCACACCGGAATAAGTCCCAGAGGGAGCCGCTGACGTCACTTCTTCTTCTTCTGCTTTGGTTTTACTGGCAGGCCGCAATCTATCGATTAGATTTATGATTTGAAAATTATAAAAGTAGGGTAGACATGTGGATATTATCCGGCTGAACAAAACGTGATCTGTCTCTTCCATTTGTGTCAACCACAGACCATATTTCGAGCTATTTTCCAAAATCCTATGGAGAAATTGCATTGGTTTTTGTCGAAGGAACCGGAAGTGGTAAAATGCTAACTTACTTCCGGGTTTTAGGACGCGTCACTGTGGCACTCTATACTGCCACCCGAAGTCCCCGGCCGGAAGTCCCCGGAGTTGAAGCCTTCCGAGTAAATCGCCAGAACGCCGACACCTCCTCATCACTCCACCGCTCCCATGTTTCATAAAAAGGGGTGAAAAGGTTCGCAAAAAAAAGTTCTAGTTCCAGATCTTTTTGGTGTGAATGCAAAATCCCAGGAAAAGTACTCTTGGTGTGAAAGCGCCTAATGTAATGTAGACACAAAATTAAAATTAAACTAATATTTAGCGTAAATACAGCGTTATTGGATATGTGAATAATACTAAAGATAATACAGTACAGTACAAAATTATTAAGGCTGAGATTTCAGATTATATTATGGCAGTACAAAATATACCAAATTTGAGTAGACAATCACGATAAAGATTAATTTACAACTATAGACAAGTTAAAAAAACAATCTAGCTCAATTTTTTTATTTTTTTTTAATACAGAGGACTATTTGTAGGCTACAAACTGTCAACAAAAAATATAGATCAAAAGCTAACAAACTGCTTTCCTCCAGTGTTCACTCTTTCAGGCACAAAACTAGGGCGACCAGGTGCCAATAAGCCACATGTGGGACAAAGAGTACGTCTGTGTGGAACAATGTGGGACATGTTACTGCATTGATAATAGCTAGTTTAGATTTAAATATAATGTCTATCAAACGCTTAAAAATAAACATTTATATTGAAACTATCAGCTTAATAATATTAAAAACAACGCTTAACTTTAGGTGAACTGTTTGTACTAACTATGCAAGGGAAGGAATTTCATATATTTGGTTTGAATGGAAAACATCTTTTCAACAATTAAACTACCGTCAGTAAACATGTCCGTATATGTTTGCTATCTCTGAGTCTGGAAAAAGGACCAGAGCTGGCCTACAATGTAAGACTTTGCTGTTAATTCACTTTTTCTTAACAGTAATATAGTGTATTTATGTAATACGGTTGAGTAGGCTACTGTAGTTAGCAAAGCTCAAATAACAGAAAAAAGTATGATAATGTTTTAAATGACAGTAGGCCTAAGCTCAATTATTTTTGAAAAGGGGGGTGCGGTCTTTCAGACCGGATATCAGAGCTGGATAAAAAGTTTGAAAAGGAACAGGGCAGGCATAATCTTTTGATTCTAAAATGTTCTGTCAAAGCGTGTTAGTTAACTTCATTTTGCGTTTGAAAATAGTTAAAAGCGGGAAATTATGTTCTACTCGACGGGACTTTCTCATATGAATAGTTCTTCAAATGGAGGAGTAGCTCGCGCCACTTCAGAGGACTTTTGCTTCACAACAACAAGAAGTCTTGCCCTGCTTTCTGCTTCCCTCAGGCTGTGCAACTACAAATCAGACGGTAAATACAAATAACCGTATTTATCCGGTATACTAATTGTCCACTTAGGTAGCTTCACCAAAAATAATGTTTGAAATCCAACTGATAATTACCTAGCTGTTTGCTAGTGGGTATGTGACTTTAAAATATCAATTATGAGACCAAGATATTAATGTCGGAAAAGGTATATTTAAAAACACTTTACAGTAAACTCTTGTGTCAAATGCTAACTGTTTTGGATCATCTGTAACTTATCTTAAGGTTAGTAAAGGTTGTAGCTTGTTAGCTAGCTAACGTTAGCTGATAGCCGTTGTTAAATAGCTATATTTACCACATAAGAACACTGAACAAAGTTGAAGGTTTGAATGGTGATGGGATAACTTCAAATAGAGACGTGGTTTAACTTTAAGAGGAGAAAAAGCTGATAGTGTTTGAATTACATTTTATTTGATTCAAACTTAATCAAATGTAATCAATTTAAAAATTGATTTATTTCAAGTAAATCCAGTCCGAGGGAAGGTTTCTCCAAGAAGACGGGTCAGACTGTCCAGAAGAAGTCCACTACACGTCTCCACACCACTGAATAACCTCCTGGACTTTAAATGGGACTTCATACAGGTCAGTGAGTCTCTGAGTTTTGTAAGCTGATAATGCTACATAAGATTAATGATGATTAAAGATGAATCTACATCATCTTTATGAGCATTAAGTAGGCATTGTTATTGTACATTCCAGATTTGAATAATACATTTAGTTTTTTACTGTTTTACAGGAACAACAAAGAGCAAGGTGATGGTCATCTCTATCTGATACAGGAGATTCCTCTTTGAATCCGAACTGCACACTCTCCAGGCACAGGACTCTTTTAAGAGGTAAAACACGTGACTTCTCAACATTATTTATTTCAGCTGCTGTTACCTTCTCTGTTTGTTTAACCTGTTTTGGTTCTACAAATGCTGTGCAGTCCGCCACAAAGCGGGACACCTGGTCACCCTACACAAAACACAAGTTATTTTCCAGTGCAACAATTTGTCCTCAGGTTTTTTTTTATGTTTTATAATAGAACAAAGTAAACACACTGTATTTGCTTTTCTTAAGGAGCGAGTCTTGTGGACCATAGCCCTTAAACTCTACACTGACAGAATGGCGGTTTAGAATAAACATGCATTCAAATAAGAGCAACCGCATCAGATCCGGCTGCTTTTAAAAACTCTATTACAGGATTATGAAATATATAATGTAGGCTGCTGAAAGCAGCTCAGTCTCTTTGCCTTCCTCACTGCTGATCTGGCTTTGTGCACACGGGTTCTGTCGCTGAGGTAAAGCAGGTACATGTAGATGTTGATTTCTAAGATGGCACTGCGTTATCAGTCACTGCGTGGTGTTTGGCAGTAGAACAGATTTCATGTTCCGCCCTTTTAGCAGCGATGCGTACAATGAATCGCAACAAATTCCCACACAAGAGGTTGTTTGTGTGCACAGAAAACAGAGCAGGTAATTTCGTACGAAAACCTATCGCTCAGACTTGACCTTGTAGCGGAGGACTAGGTAGGTGCCGAGCCGCAGGATGAGGAAGAAAATGCCCAGCACGATGAAATCCATGTAGAGCTTTGCGTCCTCTACGTCCAATAACTGCAGAACCTCTTCAGGCCGCTGGAACTTACACACCTTCTCTGGACACTCCAGCTCTGAGCGGTTCATCCCGTAGATGGACAGGATCACGCCTTCAAAGCCGTATCTGTGGGAGAGATACTAAACCTTAAGTCACATTCAGAATTTCTAAAAGTTTACTCAATCATCTGCAAAGTCTAAATAACAAAAAATGTAAGCAATGCCACAAATTAGCAATCCATTCTATCAGCTCAAATACGCCACAATATTCATAACAGTCCACAATATGAAAGTTGTGGATGATAATAATATCAGGTTAAAAAAAATAATGTGAGGCTGTCACGAAGAATGAACCCCAAGAACAAATAGTTAAGTCAAATTAACTATGAGCCTTAGACATTGTTTAATGGGCAACAATAGTGTGGGATGAAGTGATTTAAAATGTTTTTTCAAATGTCATCTTGGTTTTTCGATGTCTTTTCTCCTAGTATCTTGTTTTGATTTACTTCCTGTTTTTTGTGGTTTCCTGCCTGTGTGATTGACTGATTGTGGTCACCTGCTGCCCTTGCGTTTTTTCATGCCCGCTCCAGTTGCGTCTTGTCTTTGTGGTTAGTCTTTAGTGTATAAATGCTTCTCTTCCCTTAGGCCTGCACCACAAAGCAGGATTTAGGGTTAATGAGGTAACTTCAGGGTTAACCGAGTTTTCGGTACTATGACACTGGTTCACCTCTCACCAGGGTAGATAGCGATGGTAACTTATGCTGAACACCTAACTACGACACTGGTTATCAACTTCGTAAATCAACCCAGGGTTTCTCTGTCCGGCTACAAGCGAGTTCACATGAAAGGGGCGGGGTTAGCAGCATTTGACCAATAACTAACATAGAGAAGAGTACTGACAGCGCCGCGTCATACTTCATGAATGAAGAGTGAACTATAATATTAGACAAATATAAAGAAGTTCAACTTTATACATCATGACTTCACCGCATAATCCAGGATGAAAGTACCATGCAGCTGCAAAGTGCAGGAAGAACAGCTGGTTAAAAGAACTCTGAATGTGTGAGTGCATAAATAAAAGGTTTATAACATTACTGCCCCATAGGCACGAGTGGATCTGACTCTAATAACATTTGAGTGTTTCGTCAATTTAATTTGTCGTTTAATTGCGTTTGTGTGCAATACAATAGAATATATTATTCATCCCCAAAAATAAATATGGATACATAATTTAAAGCGGTAAACAGGATTATTTTCAAATCTTAAAGACAGGGGTGGTGTATTAAACGTTCATCTAGGAACAATCTAATGTGCAGTGTTTATTTGTTCCGTCTGTTACATGTATTTCGGACTCGCACATCTCCTGAATGTGTGTGATTTTGTAATTTTGCAAATAAACTCTGCACATTAGATTATTCCTAGACGAACGTTTAATACACCGCTGCTGTCTTGAAGGTATGAAAATAAGCCTTTTTATCGCCATAAATTATGTTTTGTTACTCCACAAAAATTAAAACAACCAATTAAGTTGACGAAACACTCAAATGTTATTAAAATCAGATCCACTCGTGTCTATAGGGCAGTGATATTATAAACCTTTTATTTACACACTCACACAGTCTTAGTTTTTTTTGCTGTTCTTCCTGCACTTTGCAGCTGCATGTTGCTTTAAACCTGGATTATGTGTTGATGTCATGGATGAATTCATTTTAACTTCTTCCATTTGTTTTATATTATAGATTTATTTTCATTCATGACGCTGCGCCAGCGGCGCCGGATTCATTTCAGAAGTGGGGGGGCCAAAAAGTGCGTGTTGTGACATACTTGCCAACCCTCCCGATTTTCACGGGAGACTCCCGATTTCATTGCCCTCTCCCGGTTTCTTCCCGGGGTCATATTTCTCCCGCATTTCTCCCGATTTCTGACTAAATCTGATTTGTGAGTCACGACCTGTTTCATTCTAACATAACGCTCCAAATGTTACCGTTTCCACTCAGACTTCAATACAGCTACACCATTGTTTGGTTTCCATGGTAACGTGTCTCTTAGTAGCGTGCGCAACTGAAAGTCTGAGAGGGTGTTCAGCATGGGGAGGAAGATAGTCACACGAAACAGAACAAGAATGGACAACTCTACCCTCTGATCACTCCTTTCCTGTAAATTAAACTATACAGGTCCAACACACACATATGACAGCGCAGTTGCTCCATCATTCCATCACTTCTTTTTTCCTGCTCAATACGCTCTTGTTTGACAAGCTGAATGTTGACTGGTGTTTGACTGAAGTAAGTGCACTTTTTTTGAACACACTCTCTGTGAAAATGAGACTTTTCGTGGCTGTCCAGGAGGCTTGGGCGCTTTTTCCAGTAATTAACTCCGGTATTTACAAAGCTGTCATCTCCACATTTGGAGAAAGTTACAAGCCGTTTGACAGCAGCAAATCTGCATATTTCACAGAAGGCCCGTTTAGTGGTTTTGCAAATAATTAACCACTCTCTGTTTTTGTACCATTCTGCTTTGAAGTACCTTTCTCTTTGCCCAAACGATCTAGCGGTCTCCTTTATATCTACAATTAGCTGTGCAGCTTTACCCTTCTCAATGTCCCGACAACAAACCTCCACGCAGTCGTAACCAGCCTGTTTCAGTTCAACGATGCCGGCGGTTTTGACAGTCTCAGCTGTCGCAGAGCTGCTGCTTTGGGGTTCATCTGGCTGCGCTGGTTCTATGAAGGGCCAGGCTCCGGAGTTGTGGATGTCAGGGATGTGACATTGAAGTTGCTGAAGTTCAGTTTTCTTTGACTGTATTTTATTTTCTTATGCGCTGGTTCTTCTGACATGTTTGCGATATCAATAGCTAAGTTTATCTATCTAGGTTAACGGCTGACACAGAACAACGTAACAAAGAAACAAATCTAAGCTTTTTTATTGGTTGTAATGTACATATTCTTCCTGTTATGTTTGTCTGCTTTATTTTACCTAATGCAATATATGAGCCTCTGTCGCTGCCTGTAGCTAATGAGATTGTCTTATCATCTCCGCAAAAATAACAAAATATACACAGCTAGATCAGATCGCGTTCTTTTTAGATGCGACTTTAGAGTAGAGGGGAATTATTGAAACGGAATGTACAGTGTTCCGCGGCATCCACTGCTGCGAAAATGTGGGGCAGGGCTTCCGGTGCCCCTGCTCTGCACTCCACCTAGCACTCAGGCACTTCCTGCCATACCTGAGGGGGAAGCATGTGCTTGTCCAATCGGACAACACTACAACAGTGTATCATATAAACCACCAGGGGGGCACCAAATCTGCACGCTTGCTAGAGGTGTCCCAGACTCTCCTGACCTGGGCAGCTCCTTGCCTGGCCAGCCTACGGTCAATGTATCTACCCGGAGAGCAGAACCAAGTCGCAGACTTCCTCTCCCGTCACAAGCCTCCACCGGGGGAGTGGCGGCTTCTGCCAGAGGTGGTGACCAGCATCTGGGGTCTCTTCGGCAGGGCAGAGGTAGATCTCTTTGCCTCGAAGATGTCGACCCACTTCATCAGGACCACAGGCTTCTTCTGGTGGCCAGGACTTGTTTCTCCCTGCTGCACAGACTCTGTTGCGGGACGCCTTGGCGTCTCCCCAACAGGAAGGATCTCTTGTCTCAGCTGGAGCGTCGGATGTGGCACTCCGACCCCTGCCGCCTCCAGCTGTGGGTCTGGCCACTGGAGGGTCCGACCCACTGCTGAGCGACTGCATAGAGCCTGTCAGGAGGACTATTCTCAATGCAAGGGCACCATCTACTCGTAGGCAGTACGAAAACAGGTGGAAACTGTTTTCTGACTGGTGCCAAGGGCGAAATGAGGACCCAGTACATTGCTCGGTGCCTACTATCCTTGAGTTCCTGCAGTCCCTCCTGGACGACGGCCGGTGTCCCGCTACCGTCAGGGTGTATGTGGCTGCTATATCAGCTCAACACGCAAGGGTTGACAACAACACAGTGGGGAACCATAGGCTGGTATCCCTCTTCTTAAGGGGAGCTCTGAGGCTTCGCCCCCCGAACGTCCCAAGGGCTCCTACATGGGACCTGCCCTTGGTGCTGGATGCCCTATGCTCGCCTCCCTTTGAACCCTTGTCACAGGCAGAACTGAGGTGGCTCTCGGCTAAGACTGCTTTCCTTCTTGCCATCACCTCAGCAAAGCATGTAAGCGAGCTTCAGGCCTTGTCCGCGAACAGCTCGTGTCTGAGGTGGAACTCAGATGGCTCAGGTGTCACCTTAGGGCCGAATACAGCGTTCCTCCCTAAGGTGCTGGCACGCTCTCATTTTAATCGGCCTATCCAGCTGGCACGGTTTGACCCCCCATCAGGAGAGGGGGAAGAGAGGTCAAGACTCTTATGCCCGGTGCGGGCCCTTAGAGCTTATGTCCAGACTACCGCAGGCATACGTCAGTCTGAACAGCTCTTTCTGTGTTACGGTGGTCCTAGAAGGGGCTGTGCGCTCTCAAAGCAGCACTTGTCCCACTGGATCGTGGACGTCATTGCCCAGGCATACAAGGCGAATGACCGTCCCTTGCCACCTAGAGTAAAGTGCCACTCTACCAGGAGTGTCTCCACGTCATGGGCGACCTTGAGAGATGTGCCCCTGGAGGACATATGTGCTGCGGCCACATGGGCATCCCCGGGCACATTCACCAGATACTACAGAGTGAATGTTGCCGCCCCACACCCGTTGGGTGTGATCCTCCTGCAGAGTCCACCTAGGCCATCCCTATAGGGTAAGTACTCAGACTTCCTCGTGACTCTGTTGATATAAGTTATCCAGTGCTAAGCACCGCCTCTGGCGGTCAGTAAGGATGAAATAGAACGATAGTTACGTATGTAACTACGGTTCTATGAATCCTGGATGACCGCCAGAGTTCTTGGTCACTCGGAATCTCGTGATTCCATAGGACTGAACTCGTTGACAAAATCGGAACTTATGCCTTCCGGGGTCATACGAGGTCACACGTGACTTTGTTGATTTAAATATTCGACCTGCGCATGCGCGAGACAGAAGATATTCAGTGCTAAGCTACGCCTTTGGCGGTCATCCAGGATTCATAGAACTGTAGTTACATACGTAACTATCGTTTGATATGATATTTTACTTTTCTCCATCCAACCGAAAATCTTCCCTCTGCCCCACTGCTAACAAAAAATGGATTCTGTTACTCACCTGACATAAGAAACGTACGAGCTCCACTGCAGGTACTTGGGGATCGTGTCAAAGTTCACAAAGAATCCAGAGAACAGTAGCACAGGGATAGCTGTGACAGGTCCAACGAATGTAGCTACCTGTATAAGAATGCAGAGCACACAATATGTCTTATATGTGTAACATGAGCCAAGACATCCTATATTAAACATTCAAACATGCCGCACCTGTAGTGAGGGGGAGGCGGCCCCCACCAGAAGGCCCAGAGACTGAGCTACCAGGGCCGTGCAGATGGACAGGGCGAGGAAGAGGAGGTAGCGGGTGGCCTCCGGGGGCTGCTTCGTCATCCAGTACACTATGCTGCAGTACATGATGGGGCAGATCACCTAAAACCACATCAGAAGATCTTCGGTTTCATTATATTCAAGAATAACAAAGTTTCCCAGCCTCTTCTCGATGCAGTTAAAAACATAAACTAATAAATGGACAGATCTAAGTCCTTTCCCTAAATAAGACTTTTTTTTAAATCTAATGTATGAGTGGAAACGACACTGAGCCATATCCACAGCGAGGTTATACTTAGTTTAAGTAATGTTAGAACATTTTAAATATACTTATATTTAAGGTGTACAAGAACAGACAAACCTTACCAAACAGATTTCTTTTTGTCTTGTATTTCAGGTATTAAAGAGGAAGATCACGCATATATATTGGTGGGTGATGTGCAATACCACAGTGAAAGGGCTATAGGAAAAGTATGGATATCATGATACTACTGTGCAGTGTTGAATCTGATTTAAGTTATACTGGAAGCTACCAACCCAACTTATGGAATATGAAACACAACATGCAACATAATATATTCGTAGATTTACAGTAAAAATGTGTTTAGTTTAGCTGGAGCTAGCCTCTGAATAATGCAGGAAGTTTTCACACTTTGTAAATGAAAAGTGTGAACTACATGAACTAACTGACAGTTAAACAAAAGTGTTCAAAGCCGCTGCATCAACCAGGTAGTACCTTTAACTCACACTAGAGTGCAGTAGTGTACTCTGTAAAAGTGTAACAGGTTTGTGGACCCCCAAATATCTGCTTACCTGGAATGGGATATCAGCCATGGTTTTAGCCAGGTAGTAAGCTTTCAGGCTGTACCAGTAGTTTAGATGTTCCCTCAGGAAAACAGACATCTCTAGAGGAACTAACAGATGGTGCACAAAAATAATTTACAATTATCTGTCAATCCATTCACAACATATGGGATTTAGAAATGGCTCTCTGTTCTGTATAAAACTGAAAAAAGACAAACAAATCTGGGTAATTTCCTCCCGTCAATCAGACTCACAGGTCAACACGGTCGGCATGAGCGCTCCAAACATGATGAAGAGCATAGAGAAGAAGAGGAACCCAGTGTTGTTAAAGACCTTGCTCGCGTCATTGCCGATGTTCAGATAGAGCAAGCCTATTAACACACCTATGGCGATGTGGGAGATCAGTCTGAGGTGGGTCAAAACCTGAGAGCAGAACAAAAGCAGGAACAAATGAAGATCCACTCCCAGACAACTGCCTGGTCGTTTTTGGGTAAAGTCTCTTGTTTTAAGATGACTCAATTTAGGTAAAGACTTTACATTTCAATGTGTTTCGAACCAGTGCTTAACTGTTATATGCATGATATGACTCACCTGGTCTCGACATATAGTAATGAAGGTTCTCTTGAAGAGGATACAGAACTGTGTTAATGTGCTTGTGGCAAACGTATGTCTCTCTATGTGTCCGGCATCCTGGAGAAAATGGAAGCAGATAATCCAGTAAAATGAAAAAAAAATGATAAATGAATAATTATGCACAACATCAAAAAGAGCAGAGGCCTGTACTACGAAGCTGGATTTTCGCTTAGCCGGCTAACATCAGGGAAATCTCGGGCTTTCCGGTCCTACGACGCTGGTTCTCTTTTTAGCAGGCTAGATTTCCATGGTAACTTATGCTGAGCGGCTAACCTGCTCCGGAGCAGGTTAGGTGGCAGGCTAAGAGATCAACTCAGTGAAAGCACCGCCTGCTGACCAATCAGAGCTCCGTGTGCGGAGTTTAAAGCGATCAAGTCATATTACAGGATAGAGGAAATACAGAAAAACTGCCGTTGCAGGAAAGACGGCCAGCCAAAATCAACTGACTGTGTGAACGTGAAAATTAATAGAATATCCCCTCCCATCTTCAGAGCAATCTGACTATTATAATATTAGCGTTAAGAAAGCTTACTTAAATATCTGCCACGACATAAGTAACCGGATCAGAGTAACATTAAGTACAGTCCGCGGCATTGTGAGTGCAGACGTCGATGTGTCCCATTATCATTCATATCATATCACATCATAATGTATCATATATTTCCTTATTTGAGTCAGCTTCTTGAGCCGTATCTGGCCGTGCAACACTCACAGTGTCACATACCGTATGCAGAAGTATTATTTTAAGCAACACATTAAGTTGACGAACCACTCGAGTCAAATGTAATTAAAGTCAGATCCACTCGTGTCTTAGACGGGGCAGTGATTTCATAAACCTGTTAATGTACGCATTCAAACACTTTTTCTTTTACCAGCTGTATTCACCTTGCAGGTGCAGCTATGTGGCTTTTATCCTGGATAAAGTGTTTAAGTCATGGATGTTTAAAGTTTAACTTCTTCATATTTGACTAATATTAAAGTTCACTTTTCATTCAGGAAGTATGACGCTGCGCTGTCAGTACGCTTGTCCATGTTTGAGATTGGTCGAATGCTCCAAATACCACCCCTTTCATGTGAACGCGCACCTAACTAGATAGGACACGGCTGGCTTGAGCGATCCACTTGATAACCAGCGTCGTAGTACAGTTTAGCGAGAGCACGTATGTTTTGGATTGGGCCAACCGGCTAACTCAAACATATCCAGGTTAGGTTGAACCAGCTTCGTAGTACAGGCCTCTGGACAATAGATTCTGCTGTCAGGGACACATATACACACCTCTGGGTAGACATTTTGCCCCAGAAACCTGGTGATAATTTGTTGATAAATACATGTATTTTCAAAGAACAGAAGCTATAATACAGTAGAATATAGTGAGTACACTGCATTCACTATATTCTACTATATTCTAGCCATATTATAGGGCTGTACCGTAGTATTTTAACTCTATTTTATTCCACTCTATGTTATGTTCCTGCACTATGTAAATGGTTATTTTTTTAATGTATCTTTTACCTTATCATTTATCTTATCCCCCATATAAACAAAAACGTGGCATGTACTGTAAGTTAATATGTTCTGATTTGTGTGTCATATTCTATACTTTACTTATATTACAAGTCTACAATAATACTGACAAACTAGTGCCTGCTTCGTCACATCATTAGTCTGGTAAACACTGTTAACATGGCTCTGCTACTACTAATCACTACTGTTACAAAAAATATTTTTATTTTATTAATTTATTATTATTTTTTAAATAATTTTTTTTGTTTTGTTTTGTTGTTTTTATTTGTCCTTGTTTGTCTACCCTCCCTCAAAATGTAAAGCGTCTTTGAGTTCCAGAAAAGCGCTATATAAATATAATTTATTATTATTATTATTATTATTACACTAACCATACCATGTTACTTTTATATTTCCTATTTTCTTATTTTATTCTTATTTAAGTATACCTCTTAGTATGTATTCTTTAATTTACTCAATTATTTGTAGGCTACTGTTGCTGTCCTTGTGCAGCTGCCACAACCGAATTTCCCCTCTGGGTTTTAAAAAAGGTTTATCTTATCTTTCCTTTTTGGCTTTCTTGCCTGAAGTGAGATTAGAAGATAACACTCTCATCTTTGTAATGTAAATGTGAAGCTACAGCCAGGAGATGGTCATCTCAAATTAGCTCAAAAACAGAGAAGAAAGAGCTTGTCTGGCTTCTTCCAAATAGCAAAATCCACAGGACCTGCCGCTGGCTGCAGAAGTGGTATTGCCATTTTGTCCCAAAATCATCTTTTAACCATATCCTTTATATTAATATCTTACGAGTTGATGGTGGAACCAGTAGGCAGTAATTTTTTCAACTTAATCCAAAAAATAAATAGTTGTTAGCGGAATTTTGTGTTGTCTTTATTGTAACATAGCTTCTACCCGTTAGCTTAGCATCTGTTAGTGGTGATCTTTTGAACTGTTGACTTAAATATAATACAGCCATACTGGAAACCAGAAAGAGTCCCTTTTTTATTCTGATAAGTGGATATTGCTACATTTAGACAGAACCAGGCTAGCTGTTTCCCACTGTTTCCATTTTTATGCTAAGCTAAACTAAGCTAACCAGTTGCTGGCTCTAGCTTCATATGTACTGTAGCTAGTGTTCAGACATTAGTGTGTTATCAACATAGTTATCAATCTTCCCATCTAACTCTTGGCAAGAAAGTGAATAATAAAATATTACTTTATAAACATACCAACTGAAAATATAATTATTTAACGGGGCATATAAAGGTAAATGTAAAAGTTTGTACTTTTTGGGGGGGTTTCTACTAGAAAATGTTCAACATGCTTCAATGTTAAAACAAATTAATTATTTCTGAGACCCCCTTTTTTTAAGAGGCCTCCCTCCCGGTAAAAACAAAAACAAAACTCTCCTTTGATAAGGGTTTGAGCTGTAGATGGATATCTGGGTTAGTACATTAAATGAACCCACATGTGACGTAGGAAAGGAAGCCACATCCCTAGTTTTCTGAACAAAATCTGTCACATCATCTACTACACACCTTTTGGCACTTTGTTGCACAGACAGATGTGCCATTGTTTTCACATTGATTCTTCTTCTCCTCTAATGCACACATTCCACCCTGGACTGCCTCAAACAGCACCGGATTCAGGTCTCCATACTCTCCTGATGCCACTTCAATGACTGCACCGGAGGCAAAAGCAGAAAGACACACAGATCATTAAGGAATTACAATGGTTCTTAGGAAAGTGTAACAAAGACATGTATAAATGTTTTGTGGACATACTGAAGTCTGCAGGGTTGTGGTAGGTAGGACAGTAAAGGCCCAGAGTCTTCAGATAAGGGATTAGGTAAGGGACTGTGCCTTTGTAGATACACTGTCCCTGACTGAGAATGTAAAGCTGAGGAGGAACACAATGTATCAAGGTTTGCAACTGACACAGACTGTTATTCATTTTATTCTGTTCCTTTGCCCTTTATAGACAGACTTGTACCTTGTCAAACATCTCAAACAGTTTGGCACTGGGCTGGTGGATGGTGCAGATGATGGTCCGTCCTCCCAGCGCCAGAGAGCGCATTAGTGAGACCACCTGGTAGCATGATGCACTGTCTAAGCCACTGAACAGAGAGAGACACACAGGCAGACATTAATGAGCTATCTAAGTAGAAGACATATATGAGTCAGGACAAAGATATGAGAAAAAGCCCCTTTTATTGATTGCATTTTGTCCCCTGAAAGTTTTTTTTTATGTTATATTAACAGTAACTGGGCATATCTCTAACAATGGCCTTATAAAGAAAGAGATACCAGTGCATATCACATCTCTATGACAGATAGGAACACCCAACCATGTTGGACAGGGTCCAATGGTAAGTGCAATAAGTATCCCCAGTAATAACTAGGAGGGAAGGGTACATCTTAAAGTTTGAGAGTGGAAGCTGCAGCATGTCACACAGACCACATGCCAATAATCCAACATGCATAGGGAAACGGCTTCAATTGTTTATGAGATTGTCCATATGTCACTTAAATGTAAATGTTCTTGTCAAGCCAGATATTCTCTGTCCTAATGACATAACCATTCACAATGGATACTGCCAAATTCATTGTAAATAATATCACTGAATCAAGACAACAAACAGCATGCATTTATATTAGGAGTCAGTTTAAAATGAATAAATACAACCTGTATAGCATTGAAGGAGAGTTGCAGATTATCAAAGGCTTGTTGAAAAGAGTCAACAATACAATAGAATGTGTAATTTCCATATAGATGAACTTGTCTACAGTACCACACAAATAGTATAATGCAGGGCCCACAGTTGATCCTTGTTGCACACCTTTTGTAATGGGCAAGCACTCTGATGTTGCTCTGAATTCTTTTTTTAGGATTAGTCTATTCTTACGGATATCATATATCCGTAAGAATAGACACATTTTCTCATAGTCTCATTACTGCTGACCTAGTTTAGACTAGACTATAAGCATTAGTCAGTCAATCAATATTAAATTGACTGATCACACTCAATTTAGATTCTGTATATTGAGAGAGTAGCTCCGTTAGCTAACATGCATAGCTAGCATCAGCAAAAAGGTATCGATGTAACCAAACCACATTGATTGAGTTGTTAGGCCCAAAGATGACCTTTAATGCAAGAATCTTGAGGCATTTTAGACAGTGAAAGCCCTCATATATTTGACAGAGAAACACTCAATGTAATAGTCATGCAAGGACCAGTGTATTCATTATTATGGTTTCCATGAGAGAAACTTTGTGAACTCTGGTCAAAATGTTGTATTTATTTTTATCTGCAAGACTTCATTTGTCAGAGGACCTGGGTACCAGTGCGTCCAACCGCTTATACATGCCAGATGCTACCATTGCAATTAAGAGTCAAACGGTTTGGGTTTCAAAAGTCATTCCAACACCATATGTCCAGCTGTCACAAGACTCATTATAATTATGCAGCCAGATGTGCTGTCTGGACGAACTGAAACTGCCTTTGGGTCGCCTTTTCAGGAAAAAAATCTAAATCCTCAATTCTATTGTTCAAATTTGCATTTTATCCATTACCTAATGAACTTAATAAAGTAAATTGTTGGCATAAACTAGAATAACAACCACATAGGTTGTATATTGTATTCCAATTCCACAGTAATTGACTTAATATGGTCAACGTTTAAATTCTACTGTACATTGCATTGCCTTTTTAATGGAGGCACATTTCAAACAAACAACTAAAATGTCTTATGTGCTATAATTCTTTTTAATTCAGCCATCATCAGCACATCAGCACCTGCGTGTCTCACCTGGTTGGCTCATCAAAGAACATGACTGGAGGATTGTTGACCAGTTCAAGGGCGATGGCCAGACGTTTACACTGACCACCGGACAGAGAGCTGGTACGAGTGTAAGCACAGTCAAGGAGTCCCAGGGCAGTCAGAATCTCATTCACCTGGACAGAGAAAGTCAGAGAGAGATAATTCACAGGATTCAAAAATGGTTTGTTTGATTATTAAAAAAACAAACAGTCTTTTTCATTTGTACCCATGAAACTACTCTAGTGTCATTGTCAAGTGTAGACTGCAAAAATAATTTTGAAAGCTAGAAATATTTAAAAAGATGTTTGGGCTATAGAGACTTTTGATAGATACAGTGTTTAAAGGGGGAAGAGAGAGGGGATGACACTGCCTAATATTTCCATGCTGGATTCAAACACGTGCGCTGGCCAGCTCTAACCACTGAGATATCTGGCTAGGCGTATTTTTAACGCTTAATGACTGATTAAATATTAATTGGCAGAAAACAACATACATACATCCTCACAAAGAATTAATGGGTAGCTACCACTGATTAAAGCCATTCCATTCCATTTATGCCACAGCTAAGTAACTGTCTGTGTAAGTCTGTGTTTGCATGGTGGACGCTTACCTACATGTCCTGACAGCCCTGTATTGGCATTTATTTTAGAAACAAAATATAGATACCTGAAAAGGTATAGAAAGCCATCCCTGGACAACTGGCCTTTTATCCAAATTGGGAATACAAGTGTTTCCACAAAGTGGAGCGTGTAAACAGAAAGTTACATTCCAAATTTCTACGGTGATTGGCCGGTTAAGTTTAAATTTGAATTAGGTCGTATTAAAGTGGAAGTATTACTGTTATTATCTTTTTTATGTGTGTGTTTAGTCTGCAAGTATCTAGAAATCCTCTGCGCTATGATTAAAAGTTAGTTTTACATGACTTTCACTTACAAAAGTAAAAGAAAATGTTATCAAATTGCTGTTTACTGTCAGGACTTTCACAATGCTGATGCTAACTCTGCTCTGCACTTACGGTTTTAGCTTTCTTTGTCGGAGTAGGTTGGAGACGTTTAAATAGTATATATGTGTTGCCATTAGTATGTTAAACAGATTGGCTGTTTTAACATGTGTCACATAACTAATCTCTTTTGTCAGGGTAGTTTTGAACCTCAGATTTTAGGGAAGTGAAAAACGTGTAATGTAGTCGGGTCAAGACATTTAAGGGTAAAGATAAGTAAAACACATTTTTTTATTGAGGGAATCTCTATGCTAGTAGATGTTATTTGTTAAGCTCACCAGTTCTTTCTTCACATCCATAGTTTCATTCAGCTTTAAGTTAGCTGAAACCTGCAGCAAAGAGGAAAATCAAGTTATTATCATGTAATGTAACTATTATTTCAGAAGCTCAATAAGAAGATCAAAAAGATCACAATAACTATCAACCTTTTCATCACAGGATAAGATACAAAGTAAAAGATAATACAAACATTAACACAAAGCCTCAACATAAACACAAACTTTGAGGATGAGTTTGTCGTGGCTTTGAAATAAGCAGTGTCAGAAACAGCTCACCATCATGGCCTCTAGTGCAGTGAGGTGTGGCAGCAGCATGTCTTCCTGCATGATGTAGCAGGACATTTTCCTGAATTTCCTCAGGTCCCTGGGTTTTCCATTTACCAGGATCTGACCCTTCATCCCTGATTCCCTGGAATGCAGGAAACACACACACACACACACACACACACACACACACACACACACACACACACACACACACACACACACACACACACACACACACACACACACACACACACACACACACACACACACACACACACACACACACACACACACACACACACACACACACACACACACACACACACACCAGTTGAAAGGCTAGGCATACTAAGGTTATAAACAAAAACACAGGCTGGTTCACATGTACTGTAAAGCCTAGTATTGCAGTATCTGTGCCATAAATGCCTGCGGTGAAAGCTAATTTATCTTAATTGTGATCATTTAGTCTAAAAATTGCTTTTTAAACCAGCAACTTTGTCACGTAACATTTAGAACTAGATAACAACCCTATTTCTTTAACTCTACATTTAAATACAAGTTTGGCACTCCTACCTGTATCCAGCCAGAATATTCATTAAGGTGGACTTCCCGGCCCCAGAGGGCCCCAGGATTCCTATCAGCTCCCGAGTGCAGAACTTTCCAGACAGGCACTTCAGTAAGGCTTTGTAACCTGAGAACAACAAAGGGGGCATTAATGGTACTGATCACTTCAGCATGGCTATATTAACAATAAGAAGGAAAGTATCACATCATTCAACAACATCTTACTCTAAGGTCGCATTCACACCAGCCTTGTATAGTCCGGTTGAATCGAACCCTGGTGCATTTAGCTGCTTGGTGCGGTTTGTTTGGGTTGGTGTCAACGCAGTCCGAGACCTCTGAAGTGAACTAATCAACCGGACTCTGGTCCGCCTAAAAGAGGTGGTCTCGGACCGCTTGCTAGTGAACTCTGGAGCGGTTCATCGCTGGTGTGAACGCAGCCCGCACCAAAACATAGGAAGCGTAGTATTTACGAGTCACAAGAACGCGGAGGTCTTCAAAATCTTTTGCGAAAGAGTGAAGCAGAATGAAGTGTTGAACAGTGTTGTGTAAACATAGCCGTGGGAACATGTTTCAAATGGGGGGTGCTGTGGGGATGACACCAGGGCCGGTTCTGACCAATTTGCTGCCCTCTACAAAAGACCAATACACTACAAAAAGAGAAACGTATTGACATGGTGGACAGCTTATATAAAAAGGCTTCAAATGTATTTAGTATTGTATGAACATGTTTTAATTGGGGGGTGGACGTCACATCCTCTAGGGGGGTCCAGGGGTATGCCCCCCCGGAAAGAAATGTTGTAACATTTTAAAGTAAAATGTTTCAATCTGGTGCACTTTGAGCCCCCAATTACTAGAGACCTGATCTAGGGGGTACAACTTTAAACAGGCCATGGCATATAGGTGTAAGCAGGGGTAAAGTGCTATTTTTTTTAAGTGGGGGGTGGACCTAACATCCTCTAGGGGGGTCCAGGGGCATATGCTCCTCGGGGAAGATTTCTTTTTAATATTGAAATTAAATGCATCAATCTGGTGCACTTTGAGAGCAAAATGAAGAGATCTATGGATACCTCTCTCAACACCCATATGAAACAGAACTGTAAACAGATTTACTATTTCTTTATGGATATTTTACAAATCACTCCCCTTTTAAACTGTATTCTTGTTTTACTGTCGTATAGTATTTCATACCTGTTTTTCATTTATGCTCTTGTTTTTTTATACCTATAATGACCATATAAACGTGTGCGCCTCAGAAATACTTATTTACATTAATCGTGACCAAACCGTTTGAGACCCACTGAGATAACTTAGACTAAAGTTAACTATCTAAACACTGAGAGAGTCCTTTACTTCACCTGAGCTGAGGTTATCTGAGACTATCAGTCTGACAGGAGAGCGTTCTCCCTCTTGAAAAAGCTCCTTATATCCGTTAGCGTAGCTAGCTAGCACCAGATGCTAACCACAACGATCGCCTACCGGTGCGCGCTGTCTCTCTCTCGCTCGCTCGCGCACGCACACAAAATGGCTCGTGCCTAGAGATGGCAAATCCGGATCCTTTTACGGACTCAGGGTCTTCTGAGTCAGTCATTGAAGAGATCCGGATCATACGAGTCATTTGAGTCATATGAGTCAGCATCACCAAGACCGTAGAAATCCTATCGGTGAAACCGAAAAGTTGTTGCATTTCACGAGCATATTATTATTCCATATATTTTGAATATATATATATTTGTATATATATATATATGTAATATCTGCATGTATATTTTCTATTTCGACATGTATATTTTATATTTTATATTATTTTTCTTTCTATTCTTGTATATTTTGTAGTTTTGTTTTATTGTAAAATGCCTTTTATGCTGCTGTAACAACAACAATTTCCCAATTTGGGATCAATAAAGTACTATCTATCTATCTATCTATCTATTAAACTGACGTTATATTAACCTCCGCTACACAGTGTATTTTGCTTTAATAAAAAATGTTGATCACAAAAAAAAGGGTTATTTTGCGATTTGGCAAATCTGAGTCTGCTGTTGACTCGTGCATGAGGACGAGTCTGCTGGATCTCTGGATCTGCTGCTATATACGGCTCCGAGTCCGCACGAGTCTGCTCTGCTGTGTGTTGCACAGTGAGTCAGGATTTGCGAATCTGAGTCTGCTGTTGACTCGTGCATGAGGACGAGTCTGCTGGATCTCTGGATCTGCTGCTATATGGTTACGGCTCCGAGTCCGCACGAGTCTGCTCTGCTGTGTGTTGCAGCGAGTCAGGATTTGCGAGTCTGCGAGTCTGCTGTTGATAGCGCGGGAGCCGGGTGCTGGAGGAGGGGCTATGCTCGTGCACATGACGAGTATGGATCTCTGGATCTGCTATGCTATTACGGTTAGGAGCCGTCGGCTCCTCTGAGTCCCCACGAGTCTGCAGGAAGTTTCACTGATCCGCGTCCCCTCCCCTGAGCCAAACGATAACTTCTGGCAGCTATCCTACTTGCTAAAGGGTAGGCAGATGGACTGGGGTACGTTGTAATGTGATTTTACATGTTATAAAGAGAGTAGCGAGTGACGCAATTTATAGTTTTAATTTGTACGTCACACCAAGTGTGGGACTCAAGGACTCGGGTTAATGGAGAGGGGAGACTCGTCACGACCAGCTCATTTCTAGGATCCGGGTTAATGATCCGGATGAATCAGGACTCGCCCATCTCTACTCGTGCCACACAAACAGAGAGCAGAGCTTGAATGAAACACAGAGACCCAGAAGTAGGCTACTTGTACTGTAGCATATTATTTTCGAATCAATCATTTTTCAAATTATGAATTTCACACATACATTTCTTGGGGGTGCTTAGGGGGTGCTATGGCTATCCTGGGGGGTGCTTGTGTTTAAAGTTTATAGTCCGTTTGAGTTTGGCCCGTGTGAACGCAAACCAAACCTTCTGAAAACTGTCGTCTGGTGCGCACCAGAGAAGCGGACTATTAGGCGTGTGAATCAGGCTTGGAATTTCATCATTTTAGGGCAGGGGTCTGCAACCTTTTTGACCAAAAGAGCCATTTTGCCCCCTTTTTCACCAATTTCTTTTGTCTGGAGCCGCAAAACATATTTGATAGCTTGATAGCTTATAAAGTTGTATTTATTGTTACATCATAGACAAAAACTACTTTTGCATTTATTATTTATTACATTATAGAAAACTGTTTACCTCTAATAATGAACAAAGAACTCTTATCAGGAGAATAAAAAAAAATGCACAGGCCAACTTTAAAATAAATCAACACAGCACTTGGGAGTCCTCTGCACATTTGAAGAAAATGAATATAATTAAAATGGGCCCACTTTGAAATAAATAAAACATATAGCTGCACCCTAAAAAGAGTTAACTGATTGAATTATGACTGAAGATCGTCAGCTGTCTTCCTCTTCCGTGTTTTTCCTCCAATACGTAAAGGCTGCAGCACCTTTGACAACTTCTCTCCACATATCAAACATACCGGTGAGCCAGCATCGTTTGCTGTGAAAGCAGATAACTCTAACCACGCAGAATTAAACCCTCTGTGTTCCTCCGATACTTTTATTTTCTTTAATTTATCCATAGTTCGCTCATCGAGCCGGGGGTCAGGTTATTCGCCTGCAAGAAAAGGCGCTGGCGGGACCTTAGCAGGATATGACGCATATTTTAGTTGACCTAATTAAAACCGTTATTTTATTTTTTTATGTGTCACAGTATCACCTCAAAATACGAAACATTTTCAACCGTGCAACAAAATATAAATAGTCCTACAATTTTATTTTATTTCCTTCTTATTTTTGTCTAAGCTCAAGGGAGCCAGAGTAGAGGGCTTAACCTCTTAAGCCCTGAGCCTGTTTTTCAGGTCTCAGGCTCGAAAATGACATTCCCAGAACAAATGACCATATCTTCCCTTCTAAAAGGGTTAAATTAATAATCTTTTTTCTCAAAGTAATGATAAACCTGTGAGTTGGATTTAGAAAAGTCAGAATCAATATAGATGTTTTTTATTTTAAAGAAAATTCAGATTTTACATAGTAAGAAACTGTAAATTATAGTGTCCGTCCAAACATTTTTTTTTACAGATAGTGAAAACCACCCTTGGATGATGGGTTAGTAGACTAAACGCTTTAGGAATCCAAAGTACAACATATAATAAGTACCCTGTATCAAGATTGATGCAAAACAAGTGAAATTTGACCTTTTTAGAGAGATTTAGCCAAAAAACCCCACTTCTGGGGTCATTTGGGTGGATTTGACCTATCTCTGGCCCCCCTTGCTCGATTTTGATGAATGAAATCTCTTTATAACCGCTAGAGCCAATGGAATCGAGGGAAAGTTATATACACACCAAAACGTTAACAAATAAGGAGTGAGAGTGACGCGTTACCAAAACCGGAAGCTGCATACACTCTGGTGGCTACCATTAGCAGCTAACTTTTCCGCTCCGATTTTTACATAAAAAATGGAATTATGGATTATAAATAATTTCTTCAAAGGCACAGGTACATTATCAACCTATGGATCAACAGTTGTAGATTTTTTTGTTTTCGTTTTAATGCCATTGAACACGTCTTTTGACCTAATTGACAACTACGGTGAGACGATCTGCCGTAAAAGCTCCGTAAAGGTACGTGTTGTGATGTCTGTGTTTGCTTCAGCCGTCGCAATTTAGGATCGCTCAGTGATGATACTATACCTAAATAATCAGTGGAGTCTCAGCTTTAATAGGCTATATTGTATGTGCAGCTACGATAAGTAATAAGGGTATTTTTATCTTGAATTGTGTGCCGCAGTGCGTTAGAATTCTTTCGCTCAGGGGTCATTTAGACGCTTCTTATGAGACTTGTGTTTTGTTTTGGTAAAAATGGTTCATATCTTCAGTTAGCTGAGATTCTTCCCGTTAATCTGGTGCTACACATTAATAGTTTCATAAATGTTAAGAAGCCCTGAGACATTATCTCGAAAACAAAACGGTGGGAGGGGTCCAATGGGGGGACCGCCGTGCTTAAGAGGTTAAAGAGCCGCGGGTTGGCCTTTGGTGTCACAAAATGTTTTAGGGCACAAAGGCCATTGAGGGAAACATTTGGATTTGGAGCTTACAAATAAATAACTACAC